TGTACTTAATCACACTTTGCCAGACATGGCATTCCAGAGAATGTAATTTCAGACAACAGACCGCAATTTATATCCAATGAGTATGAAACCTTCGCACGCGAATTGGAATTCGAACATATAACCTGCTCATTGCACCACAGTCAAAGCAACGGGAAAGTTGAGTCAGCTGTCAAGATATCAAAAAAGATCTTCAAGAAAACAAAGACAAGAAAGACTTACAGCTAGCAATTTTAGACTGGCGAAATACACCCAGCACTGATGGCAGCATCCCACTACAGAAATTAATTTCACGTAGAGCCCAGCCCGCACACTATTACCAACTCCAGTATTACTTCAACCACAAGTTATCCAAGGTGTAGCAGAAAACATCAAACTTAGAAAACAGAAGTCCAAATTTCATTATGACAAAAGTGCTAAAGAACTACCAGAGCTAAATATAGGTCAACAAGTTAGATTACAACCTACAAACCCCAGAGAGCCATGGAGAAAAGCCTCATGTGTCAACAAAGTGGGTCCACGTTCATATATATTGCAAACAGAAGATGGAAGGATGTATAGACGGAATCGTAAATTCATACGTGAAACGGCAGAACTATCTAGTCGACCACTGACTAATCAACCGTTTCAACTGGCAAGTCAGCCTGAATACACTGCGTCACCAACTCAACAGTCAACACCAGCAGTGAGTAATGATAAGCCAGGTCATACATCTACGCAATCAATTCCAGAGATTCCAGTGACAGAGACCTCACTGAGTCAAACAACAAGATCAACTCGAACCAGAAGCAACATTAAATCGTATAACATTCAATATTTGATTCGTTGTTTTATACATATATGTTACTTGACGCCATTCGGTATTTGATTCAATATTTGATTCGTTGTTTTATACATATATTTTTATTTTTTTTATTTTTTATTAGACGCATAAAATCCTTAGAAAAGGATAAAAAGGGTCTTACAGAAAGAAATTAAAAAAAAAACTACAATCTAAAGAAGAAAACAAAAAATAAAAACTTTTCTAATAAAAAAATAAAACAAGTCAAAAACAAAAAAAGACAATTTGCAGCCAATGGTGAATACAGAATATAGAATGAACACAAAATGTGGCCTAATACACTGATAGTTGTTGCTGTTTTGTTCCATAGCTGTTTTTTAAGAAGACAGCTAAGGCTAGTGCTAGAGTATGGTTTGCCATAATCAAAATAAATTTATTCTGACTATTTTCTTTATCAAAATTTGGAATTTTATTTTGTGCAGTCAGGAATAATTTGTCCCTATGGTGACTGTAAGCTGGACATTTCATTACAAAATGTTGCTCATCCTCAACTACATTTTGGCTGCACATATCACATGTTCTTTTATCCAGCGGCACATTATTATGTCTGCCTTTCTCAATTTTAAGTTATATGTTACTTGACGCCATTCGGTATTTGATTTGATATTTGATTCGTTGTTTTATACATATATATTACTTGACCCTGTTCGATATTTCATTCGTTATCTGATTCGTTCAAGATCTTTGCATATGAGAAATGACTTTTAGCATCCTGATGCAGCATCAACATCTAGTGTGAACATTGAACTTTAATCTTGATAAAAGAAGGGAGATGTTAGGGAGTTAGCCTTATGTAAGATATGGCGCCCTCAGCGTCCATACTGATAACCCACTTGTTTATACACTTAATGTATACAGCCTCTTTCTGATCTCAGTGTGGCGTCTTAGATATGCTGTCTTGTCATTAATTATCTTCAATGAACAGAACCCATAACAATAACATGTGTAGACATCATGTGTGTTAATAACAGAGGCTGAATACAATAGGGCTTCATATACCGGTACATCACTACCTGGTGAATGCTACAATTGACCAATCACATTGCTGGGATATACCCACCTGTGAATTCATTTACATAACGAATAGATAGCAAATATTCTAATCTACGAAGCGCATATATTCACTTTCCTTTGGTTTTGGACATCCCAGTTAAGTAGTGAATTTCCACTTTTGGGCTCAAAAATGCACCATTACCTCATTAAATTTGTTGTTTCAGGCTATCTGGGTTTATGTCGTGAGCCTTTCTGTCATATTTATCAACTCGCCAAGGTCAGATACAAACGAGCATTTTTCAGTCACCGATTACATGGGAAGTGTTTGCTTCGGTATCGGCTTACTGCTTGAAGCTGCAGCTGACCATCAGAAATTCACCTTTCGTCGGCTAGAGGAAAACGACGGCAAATGGTGTGACACAGGTAACAATTTATTTTAAATTCAGCCCATCAAAGAACAATACTATTAAAATATTTCAGGTCAGTGTATGTGCACACAACCCCCAAAAAATGAGCCAATCTTTTTATTTTATACTTATTTTGTCACTGCATGCACAGTACCCCCCCGCCCCTCTGCTGACAAATTAAATAAATCTGGAAAAAATGTTTGAGTAAATATTTTAGCCAAAAAAAAAATCACATCACCATCCTATTTTTAAACTTTTTTTTTTTGTGAGGCCTAATATTTCTCAAAAATGATGTGATATATATATATAGTCTGTATTCTGAAAACAAAATATTTGAATATTGATATTTATGAAATACAAAATAATTTATATTATTTACTTGGCCATACAACATGTAGTTACTGGTAATCAAATGAGTTTACCTAAAGTAATAATTATTTATTTGTTCTCTACAGGTTTATGGAACTTATCGAGACATCCTAACTACTTTGGTGAGATTCTAGTGTGGTGGGGTATTTTTATCATGAGTACTAATGTACTGCAGGGAGCACAGTGGACTGCAGTATTGAGTCCAATCTTTGTCACTTTTATGCTTTTGTTTCTCAGTGGTATACCTTTATTAGAGAAGAATGCAGATGCAAGATATGGCAGGTATAGGCATAGCCATTAATCAGATTTATTACTCTTATTGCTCTGTTGCATATGTAAATCATTGCATATGTTTCAATGATCTCTGATATCTATCAAACAAATGTACTGTATTAGTATGTATGAACCTCAATAACAGATTTGTGTATTTGTGGTCAAACTAAGTAGTATTTTAATAATCCAGGATACTAGAAAGGTAATTTGGGTCTATGTGTGCTTCTACTGGAGATGCACTTCTAATCTGACTATAAGACATTGTAGAAACATTGAGATTGATCATATTATGAAAAGTCAAAGTCATCAAACAAGATATGTTTTTGCATTTTTGGAGGTTGTCAGTCAATAAAATCACAATTATATGAGGACAATGTAATCGCTGATAGAAAATTTGGGTCTGTATTGTTATGTTATTTGTAAACAATTTTTGACTCCCGTGTGCGAAGCACAAAAAGGGAGTCTTTGCAGTTAGTGTATCTGTGTGTGTGTGTCTGTTCCACTGATATCTCAAGAACCATACATTGATTTTTGATGAAACTTGGTGCATAGATGTTCTGGGCCAATGCGCAGATTTGATTAGGTTTTGGTAAAAATCCATGCATATTGATTACCTAATTTGCATGATAATTAGCTGATTTTTAGCTGTTACATGACTGTTCCACTGATATCTAAAGAACCACTCATTGGATTTTTATGAAACTTGGCACATAGATGCTCCAAACTAATGCGCAGATTTGATTAGTTTTGGGTAAAAATCTGTGCAATATTAATTACCTAATTTGTATAATGATTAATCAATTTTCTGCTTTTCCACTGATATCTCAAGTACTAATCATCACATTTCAATAAAGCTTGGTATATAGATGTCATAGCACACTGCACAAACCTGATAGTTTTTAGGGTAATATCAGTACATATTAATTACCTAATTTGCATAATTAATTAAATTTCAGCTTTTGATATTTCAAGTAGTAATCATCACATTTCAATGAAACTTGGTACATAGATATCATAGGACACTGCACAGACCTGATAGTTTTTAGGGTAGTATCAGTTGATATTAATTACCTAATTTGCATAATTAATTAAATTTCAGCTTTTGATATTTCAAGTAGTAATCATCACATTTCAATGACACTTGGTACTTAAGATTTTAATGAAACTTTTAAAGAGAACTATGCAGAGACCCAATTAGTTTTTGGTAAATATTTATGCTTATTAATAACCTAATTAACATAATTAATTAACACTGATATCTCAATTACTGATCATCACATTTGAATAAAATTTCGTACATTAATGCTCTAGGACAATAGACAGGCCTGATTAATTTTGGGTTAAAATTTGTTCATATTAATTCTCTAGTTAGCATAATAATTCATAATTTTTTTTGTTCTGTTCATATTAGTTACCTGATTTACATAATTAGTTTTCAGCTTTTCCATCAATATCTCTTGTACATGTAATTTTTAATTAATTTTTAATGTGTCTTCAATACTCTCAGCCCACGAAAGTTCTTTCTAAGCTTTCTTTGATTAAAGACTGTTGCAATAGAACATTTGAAAGTTAACAAGATGTCATCTTGCTGACTTCACTTTTAATATTGGTTCTGTGAAATACTAGTATCTAGTTTGACAATTATTTTGGTTGTCAATATCAATTATTATTACAAGTATATCAATAATAATCACTTCTGTCACTGCAAAGTGACCAACACTGGCAATTACCGCCTTCCAGTGCCCCGCTAGATTGAAGATTGTTGCAGCCAAAGTGGTTCCCAAATGACATGTATGAGTAATAAAATAAATCATTGTTAATTATATTATGCTTAGCCATTTATCAATGAATTTATTCATGAATTGGGGAATAAATAACAGAAGCTCTGATTTCAGTATTACCAGTATACTCACTGTAAATACCAGTATACTCACTGTAAATACCAGTATACTCACTGTAAATACCAGTATACTCACTGTAAATACCAGTATACTCACTGTAAATACCAGTATACTCACTGTAAATACCAGTATACTCACTGTAAATACCAGTATACTCACTGTAAATACCAGTATACTCACTGTAAATACCAGTATACTCACTGTAAATACCAGTATACTCACTGTAAATACCAGTATACTCACTGTAAATACCAGTATACTCACTGTAAATACCAGTATACTCACTGTAAATACCAGTATACTCACTGTAAATACCAGTATACTCACTGTAAATACCAGTATACTCACTGTAAATACCAGTATACTCACTGTAAATACCAGTATACTCACTGTAAATACCAGTATACTCACTGTAAATACCAGTATACTCACTGTAAATACCAGTATACTCACTGTAAATACCAGTATACTCACTGTAAATACCAGTATACTCACTGTAAATACCAGTATACTCACTGTAAATACCAGTATACTCACTGTAAATACCAGTATACTCACTGTAAATACCAGTATACTCACTGTAAATACCAGTATACTCACTGTAAATACCAGTATACTCACTGTAAATACCAGTATCTGAAAGTGTGGAAACAATGATTTTTATT